TTTCCCTGGAAGCACGGCAGGCCTCAGTTTCCCTGGAAGCACGGCAGGCCTCAGTTTCCCTGGAGGCACGGCAGGCCTCAGTTTCCCTGGAGGCACGGCAGGCCTCAGTTTCCCTGGAGGCACGGCAGGCCTCAGTTTCCCTGGAGGCACGGCAGGCCTCAGTTTCCCTGGAGGCACGGCAGGCCTCAGTTTCCCTGGAGGCACGGCAGGCCTCAGTTTCCCTGGAGGCACGGCAGGCCTCAGTTTCCCTGGAGGCACGGCAGGCCTCAGTTTCCCTGGAGGCACGGCAGGCCTCAGTTTCCCTGGAGGCACGGCAGGCCTCAGTTTCCCTGGAGGCACGGCAGGCCTCAGTTTCCCTGGAGGCACGGCAGGCCTCAGTTTCTCTGGAGGCAAGGCAGGCCTCAGTTTCTCTGGAGGCAAGGCAGGCCTCAGTTTCTCTGGAGGCAAGGCAGGCCTCAGTTTCTCTGGAGGCAAGGCAGGCCTCCGGTTTAAGCCGTTTGCTTAAAGACGTGAAAAGAACCGGAATTCTGGATTTTGTCTGGTTGTTTGAAAAACACTTTTGTTGCTTGCCGCTCTGTATTTCCCAGCTGCCTTCACTGAGGTCCGATGTGGACTGGTGGCTGTCTGAAGCACTGAGGATTTCTTTAGCTCCGTTTTGAATACTTTCCATGGTTTCTTGTCCAAGCGCAAAGATGTCAACAAGAACGCCTTTGTCAGCATAGCGCTTCAGTTCGGTCTGTGTGGAAGACGATGCCGTGTTTTGGCTGTGCTCTGCAAGGTCATGTTTGGGATGTATGGCAACAGCTGCAGCACTTCCTTCTTTCGTATCCTTCTCAATGACAGACAGCTCCATCGTCTCACCCTGTAGACTATTGAAGTGTTCTTCTGTCAGAGGAGACGTTTGCGTCTCCACCGATTTCACGTGAGGCCGGTTAACAGCTTCCAGACTTCCATCTACAAGGTGGTTATGGTCACCCAAGTGATCGAGGCATATACTCATATAGGACGTCTGATCCCCAAGAAACGACATTGTTTCGCTTTCTCTATACGTTGCCATGATCTGGCCTTCCAAAACCTTCCTCAGTTCCTGGTTGGACTGGATGTCCTTCTCCAGCCATTTACGAAGCATAACAATGGCGTCAAACTCTTTTTGCAGGCTTCCCGATTCCCTCTCGTATTCATGGAGCCGGGAACACAGATCCTGCTGAGCCTGAATGGTTAAAATCAGCTTCTTGTAATCGGGGTCGCTGTTGCTCTTGAGGCCCTGGCCTTGTTGGCGTAGGCCCGAAGCCCTTGCTTCAGCTAAGGCCGCGTTCAGGTTATCAATTTCTTTCAGGAGCTTGTCGTTTTCTTTGCTCTTTTTCTTCAGGGCGATGGTGAGGCCCTGTATAGCTTTGTCCCGCTTCACAGAATTCTTCTCTTCGACGGCAAATCCCACTTTGTGGTCGTCCAGTTTTTTCTGCAGCTCTTTTATAACATTGCCCATTTCTTTGACTTTCTTTTGCCACTCGTTAACGCTTTCTTCTTTCTCCTCTGAGCTTTTTGTTGCCAGGCAGTCCCTGCACGTTAGCCCCGGAGACTGCGAGCGGCCTTCTTTCAGGTCGCTTTCTGGGAGCAAGCCGACAGTATTTGCCGCACTCGGACTGGAGGTGTCACTCGGCATCATGGCGTTAATTTGTTTCTCCAGCTGAGTATTTAAAGCATCTTTGGAGCGTAAAGTCTCATTGAGGCATTGTATAATCCAGTCTCTCTCCTCCAATAGGCCCATGCTCTTGTTGTACTGTTCTTTGACTGCCAGCAACCTCTCTTCTGCAGTAAACCTTTGCATGCGCTCCTGGTCCAACAGCCTGCAGATTTTCTCCAGCTCTGCCTTCTCCTGTTTAAGTTCATCTTCTAACAGCTGAGCTTTTCGTTGATTGGCCTCCTGGAGCTCCTGAAGCTGCCTGAGATGGTCATCTTTCAGCTGCTGAATGGACGATTTGCGCTCTCCGGCGAGACTTTCCATGGCTTTAGATGCTCTGATAAGAAGGTTTTGCTTCTCCTGATACTCGTGTTTTAAGCTCTCCACCTCCACCTTGAGCTCTATGTTCATGCGGTGGAGCTCCTCGCTGCTGTTGTCACAATGTCTCTGCACTTGCTCCTCCAGGAAGTAGATGCGCAGCTTTAGGTTAAAGTTTTCCTTCTTCAGCTCGGTGATCTGCTTCTCAAAATCCTTCATGGTGTGCGCTCGGTCTACTGAGAGTCTAGGATAACCCTTCACGGGCTCATGATCTATCTCGTAACCCGCCCTCGGGGGGTACGCTTTGTCTATGTACAGACTGTCTCCTTCATAATGGAAAGCATAGTCCTGGTCCATAACTTGCACTCTCTCATAACTACTTCTCACATGCCTCCCCACAAACTCCTGGCCCTTCTCAGAGCCCAAGGTGTCTCCATTAGCAAGTGTGGACTGCTTGTCTCTTTCATTAGGTTTCATCAGCTGATCGTCTTCCTCACCCAAGCTGTCTCTCTCAAGGCGATCTCTGTCCATAGGGTGGCTCTCTCCCTCCAGGTTGAAGGGGCTGTCTCTCTGAAAGCGATCTCCATTCTCAGACCATCTGTCGTCATTGCTGTTCCTTAGGGGGTCAATCTCCTCAGACCAGCTGTCCCTCTGCATGGTCAGATGGCGGTCCATCACAAACTGCTCCACCACCTCAGTTGGAATATTTTCCTCCATGGTATGAAGGCGGTCTCTCTCAGCACAAGTCACATGGCCTCACAGCATACCAGTCTCTCTTAGGAGGTGAAGACACCTCTTAAATTCACAGTCTCTCTTATGAGGTAACAAGTCTCTCCCCCCCTCAGATCGGCAGTCTCTCTGGTGAAGCGACGTCTCACCTCAGGCCGGCAGTCTCCCTGAGTGTTGTCTCTACAGGGACCAGCAGTCTCTTTGGTGAAGTGATGTCTCCCCTCAGGCCGGCAGTCTCTCTGGTGAAGTGACGTCTCACCTCAGGCCGGCAGTCTCTCTGGTGAAGCGACGTCTCCCCTCAGGCCGGCAGTCTCTCTGGTGAAGTGACGTCTCACCTCAGGCCGGCAGTCTCTTTCTGGTAAAGCGTCGTCTCACTTCAGGCCGGCAGTCTCTTTCTGGTAAAGCGACGTCTCACTTCAGGCCGGCAGTCTCTCTGGTGAAGTGACGTCTATGAGAGTGGCAGTCTCTCTGGTGAAGTGACGTCTCTCCTCAGATAGTCAGTCTCTCTGGTGAAGTGATGTCTATGAGAGTGGCAGTCTCTCTGGTGAAGTGACGTCTCGCCTCAGATAGTCAGTCTCTCTGGTGAAGTGACGTCTATGAGAGTGGCAGTCTCTCTGGTGAAGTGACGTCTCGCCTCAGATCGGCAGTCTCTCTGGTTACCTCACCTCTCAGGTGCGGTCTTTTGCAGCGATCGTTTCCCGCCCAGGAAAACGATCGCTAAAGCGGCGGGAATGTCGTTCCGAACCCCCGGGACGGACAGACGCGGAGCTTTCGGTAATTTTCCGCCTTCCCGGGCACATATAACGGTCGCCTCGGCTTTTTTTTCAAACAGCCGCCATCTTGTGTGACGTACGCGCTGCGCGCGCACATTCCCCTTCCGTCAGCCGTCACCCCCCACAGCGCACGCTCCAGGAGGCTGAGGAGAACCGCCTGACGGGGGAGCGCGTCCATGAAAGGAGTTCCCGAGACCGAGAGAGGGGGCGGAGCCGCGGAGACAGAACGGACAGTGTGAGGGGGCGGAGCCGTGGAGACAGAACGGACAGTATGAGGGATGTGAGGGGGACACATAGGCTTCCGTGAGAGAGATCCTCATACCGTGACGAAGTACAAATCATTAAAGAGAGTTCTGTTCTTTAAAGGATCTGTAATGTGAAAGAACGCCGTGCCTCTGAAATATCCCCGCCCCCCCCTCATAATATATGATATACACCCGTCATAATATATATACCCCTCACGTAATATATACCCACATATACTGCTCACATGATATATACATCCCTCATAATATATACCCCTCACATGATATATACCCACATATACTCCTCACATGATATATACCCCTGTCATAATATATACCCCCCTCATAATATATACCCCTCACATGATATATACCCCTCACATAATATATACCCACATATACCCCTCACATGATATATACCCCTGTCATAATATATACCTCCCTCATAATATATACCCCTCACATGATATATACCCCTCACATGATATATACCCTTTACATGATATATACCCTTTACATGATATATACCCCTGTCATAATATATACCCCTCACATAATATATACCCCTCACATAATATATACCCCTCACATGATATATACCCTTCTCATGATATATCCCCCCCCTCATAATATATACCCCTCACATGATATGTACCCCTGTCATAATATATACCCCTCACATAATATATACCCCTCACATGATATATATATGTATATATATCATGTGAGGGGTATATATTATGAGGGGGGTATATATATATATATACCCCCCTCATAATATATACCCTTTACATGATTTATACCCTCCATATACTCCTCTCATGGTATACTCACATATACCTCACATTATATATCCGACACTGCCGGAAGAGTCAAAAGTTGAAGCTGCAGAGGTCGAAGCGAGGGATATAAAATGATGTCCCCGCTGTACACCAGAGAAGGAGACGCGGCACACGGAGTCCTCGATCTTCTCCGGCACGCGGCGCCATGCTAGGCCTCAACACCCCCCACCAGGGACACTCTACACGTCTACGTCCTTCCAAAGATGATCTCCCATGTCTGTTCATCTTCAGACTCCTGGCCGGGGCCCCATCATGTCGTTAGCACCACCCTGGTATTCATCTTTGGTATCTGGCTGCCCCGATAGCTAAGTCCATTTTTTTGGGTGACTGATCAGCCCATCCTTAAGCTGAGGGTGAGAGAGGCAAGAGGTCCCTGTAATGAGGCAACCTGAGACGGTTGCCTCAAGGGGCATCTCATTGGGTCACGTGGGGGGGGGACGCCCAGCTCACTGATGCCACTGGCTGCCAGAAGCTGAGTGGGACGCTCTGGCTGGCGTGCCGCCCACCTGCCCCCCCGTCCATCACAAGCCGCCCCGAGAGCATGCATCTCAAGTTTCCCTGGGCCTCAGGCGGCGAGGCATCTAGGGACACCCCTGGAGAGAGGTCACACAGCATGGCATCCAATCAATGTATTTTATTTTGCTTTTTGAAGACACCGTATTGGGGCCTTGTAGGAGCGGGAGGGCGTCTTAGAAAAGTCCTTCCCCTCCTCCTGCCCGTGCGCGGCGCCCAGTGCGCACACTAGCGGGGAAACCGTCAGAAATGTAAACAGCCAGCGATGGGTGTGGTAATTTTCTGCGATTTTGTGGGCGCGCGCAATTTTAAAGCTTGACATGTTTGGTGTCTATTTACCCGACGTGATCCCGTCTTTTTATATTTTACCAAAAAATTGGGTTGATAAATGTTTCATTACATTTCATAGGGAAACAGGTTTTTTTTTTTTCAAAATTTAGTGTTCTTTTTTTGTTATATAGAAAAAAAATAAAAAAGACCCCAGTGGTGATTAAATACCACCATAATAATCTGCCCCCAAAAAATGGCCTGGCCATTTAAGGGGTCTTCAAGGGGTTATTGTACAATGCAGGACGGACAACTAATAATTGTGAAAATACCTCATTATAGCCACTAGATGGCGCTGAGGATCATAGGAAATAAGTATCTTGTAATACCTCATAATGGCCACTAGATGGCGCTGAGGATCATAGGAAATAAGTATCTTGTAATACCTCATTATGGCCACTAGATGGCGCTGAGGATCAAAGGAAATAAGTATCTTGTAATACCTCATTATGGCCACTAGATGGCGCTGAGGATCATAGGAAATAAGTATCTTGTAATACCTCATTATGGCCACTAGATGGAGCTGAGGATCATAGGAAATAAGTATCTTGTAATACCGCATTATGGCCACTAGATGGAGCTGAGGATCATAGGAAATAAGTATCTTGTAATACCGCATTATGGCCACTAGATGGCGCTAAGGATCATAGGAAGTAAATACATTGTAGAAGAGATACAATGTAACAGTTCTAGAGAACGCTGGAGGAATGAGAATATAAATGTAAACATTGCTACTACAGGGATCCCCATGACATTAAAGTGAATATAAACATGCTCGGGACAAATATCAATCTATACTCAGACAAAAAGATAAAAATCAAACAAACAAACACGTTTTTAAAAAAAAGAGTCAGCCACGGTGGACTACTTGGTGTTTTTTTGCTGTAACACTTCTATGTCTCCATCGAGTAGACCAACCTTTCTCATTCAGGGTGCTGTGACGCCCTAGGGTCCCTTCTGGCTTCCTCGGGGGCGCCTTGACATTTTCACAAAGTATCATGTCTGAAGAGGGGGACTCTTATGAAGAGGGGCTCTTGATGTAAAAGAGGGTCTGGTAGTGTGAGAGGGAGGCTCTGATGTGAAGGGGGGGAGGCTCCTGATGTGTAGAGGGGCTCCTAGTGTGAGAGGGGAGACTCTGATTTGAAAGGTGGGGGCTTCTGATGTGTAGACGGGTACTGCCCTGGGGGACATGTATGGGGATCCGGGTACTGCCCTGGGGGACATGTATGGGGGTCCGGGTACTGCCCTGGGGGACATGTATGGGGGTCCGGGTAACCCCTTCACGGCCAACGGGTACGTCGCCGGCATCGGGTCTGTGTAAATTTGTAAAGCTGACGGTCGGCTTTACAGTAGAAGCGATTCTGGCGACTCAGGTGTTACCAGATCCCTTCTACGGGCCGGTGAAGGGGTCCCCTCCACCACCCCCGCTGTGTTTCCCGGGCTCCGTTGCCCCTCCTACGGGCCCGGGACCGGCTTTTTTGGTGTAGACGGGAAGCCGGGGAGGAGATGGACGAACCTCTGTTCTTCGATCCCCTCCCCGTACTATGGGACCGGGAGCGATGCAGATGACATCACTTCCAGTCCCATAGCTGTCATTGGTCGGCTCCTGAAGCCTGCGATCTGCACTTCAATAGCTAATTGAAAATGTAAAGGTGACACTGGGGGGTCTTTTGGACCCCCAGCATCACCTTAAAGAGGACCTGTCCCCACCGTCTGCTATCATGTGGGGGGGCTTGTAAGCCCCCCTATGTGATAGCAGGAAAAGTAAAAAAAAATAAAAAAATAACAGTTTTTAAAATTAACATTAAATAAAATAAATCTAAAAAAAAAAATTGCGCTAATATCGTGCAACATAAAAATTTGCAACTGCCGCCATTTTATTCTATCCGGTCTGGGCTTTCAGAAAATATATCGTGTTTGGGGGGTTTTAAGTAATTCTC